GATATTAGCGGAGATTAGATGAGGATTTGATATTAGCGGAGATTAGATGAGGATTTGATATTAGAGGAGATTAGATGAGGATTTGATATTAGCGGAGATTAGATGAGGATTTGATATTAGAGGAGATTAGATGAGGATTTGATATTAGAGGAGATTAGATGGAGATTTGATATTAGAGGAGATTAAATGAGGATTTGATATTAGCGGAGATTAGATGAGGATTTGATATTAGAGGAGATTAGATGAGGATTTGATATTAGAGGAGATTAGATGAGGATTTGATATTAGAGGAGATTAGATGAGGATTTGATATTAGCGGAGATTAGATGAGGATTTGATATTAGAGGAGATTAGATGAGGATTTGATATTAGCGGAGATTAGATGAGGATTTGATATTAGAGGAGATTAGATGAGGATTTGATATTAGCGGAGATTAGATGAGGATTTGATATTAGAGGAGATTAGTTGAGGATTTGATATTAGAGGAGATTAGATGAAGATTTGATATTAGAGGAGATTAGATGAGGATTTGATATTAGAGGAGATTAGTTGAGGATTTGATATTAGAGGAGATTAGATGAGGATTTGATATTAGAGGAGATTAGATGAGGATTTGATATTAGAGGAGATTAGATGAAGATTTGATATTAGAGGAGATTAGATGAGGATTTGATATTAGAGGAGATTAGATGAGGATTTGATATTAGAGGAGATTAGATGAGAATTTGATATTAGAAGAGAAAAGACGATGAATTGAGATCAGAGGAGATTAGATGAGGATTTGATATTAGACGAGATTAGATGAGGATTTGATATTAGAGGAGATTAGATGAGGATTTGATATTAGAGGAGATTAGATGAGGATTTGATATTAGAGGAGATTAGATGAGGATTTGATATTAGAGGAGATTAGATGAGGATTTGATATTAGATGAGATTAGATGAGGATTTGATATTAGACGAGATTAGAGGAGGATTTGATATTAGCGGAGATTAAATGAGGATTTGATATTAGAGGAGATTAGATGAGGATTTGATATTAGAGGAGATTAGATGAGGATTTGATATTTGAAGACAAAAGACGAGGATTTGATATTAGACGAGATTAGATAGATGCCAATGAAGAAACATATGCAACACAACCCTATTCAGACCCTAGGTTTTACACTGACAGATTTTGTCAGGAAACATTCTGGAATGTATAAGCATCGCTGTATGCAAATGGACGAGAGTATTGCGTACTATTTTTCAGTGACAAAGTGTTTAAAAATCAGTGATAACTATATGTCACACACCAAGCCGCCGTTTGTCCTCGGTTTGGAGAAATCAGTCGTCTAACTGGGATACGGAGAACAAAGTTTGTACCCCAGGTACCGTAATGAACTCCACTCTACGGTCTGGTGAACACAACGAATCCTATTTCTGTTCTGTAAAATAGGTCTCTCTCAATGTCTTAGGTGAAAGGAATTGTTCCAGCCTATTTTGTTATTGTAACGTCGATGTAAAATCTAGCGATCCTGAAACGAAACCAATAAAACGTCATAAGATTTATCTACTATAGGCAAACACTGATCACGAAAACTGACGACCACCAGCCACCGCCAGAGGGACTAGATTTACTGAAAAAGGTGGTCCGATTTTATAATAATCTGATGGTCTAACCTATCAGTTTCCATATTTCTGAGTTTCATTACAAATCAGTAGATATTTATAATGAGGGATTAAAAGAAATCTTTATTCTAATGAAGGTAAACATTTGCGATTCACTTGTCAATGATTGTAGTTGTTGTTTGTCTAACAATTCATACTACAATGTAAACAAGATGCCCAAAAGGCACGAATCGATCACCTGGCTAATTTAGTTTTTCAGTAATTTAACGAAGAATTTTTGATATGACAAATAATTTCCAAAATAATTTCCCTATCAAGTCCTGGCCTTGTGGTCAAACATAAGTCAGATTAACCATTCATAAAATGAACCTAGCTTTGACAATATCCTTGTAATGGCGAAGGATTTTAAAGTATGTTTATTTCCCCTATTGGACCCACATCTCTGATGTCAGACTCCTGGCTGATACAAAATTCGGTTCCTTTTACCTTGATATGTTTCAGACAAAATCAGGAATGAATTCAGGCATTCCCACAAAAGCAGGACTTCAGAGATTTTATTCTATTTCTTCAATTTCTACTATTTGGCCCAAGTATTCTTCAGATCAAATTGGAACAATACCTGCTTTTTCTACAGAATAAGAAGGATTGAAAAAAGAACTCTCTATTTCTCCTTCTGCGGCCTACCATTTCCGCCCAAGGGGGCTAGACCTGCTGCTTATACCAATTGATTCCCGTTCATCCAAGAACGCTTCAGATCAAATTAGAGCAAAATCCAATCATTCCTACAGGAGGAGTAGGATTTTTAGGCCCCACCCTCCAGACCTCAGGGGGCCGAGAACAAAAAAATATTTGACTTGGTTACTTTCCTCAAGGGAGCCTCCGACTATTTTTGCTTTCAAATTGTGACTAGAAGCGAGTTTTATTAAAAAGTCGACGGACGCCAGACGTCATAGCATAAGCTCACAAATAATAAAAAAAATAATATTATAAAATTTTTAATATGATGACATAGGTTGGTCCAAAAAGCCATAGATTCATCTCTGGTGTGAATGTGATAAATAGAATGCTATAAAGTATTGGTAAACTAGTGATACGTGATACGGGGCTACACATAATCTGAGAAAAACTTCTGTCCCATCAGATTAATGATATTCGTTTCTATTTAATGTAACAGGCCCTACCCAGCTGAAGAGAAAAAAACCATACCTCCCTGAAGATAAATAAGTCATAACTTCCTGAAACCGTATCTCCCCTGAAGTTAGATAAGCTCCTCTTGACAATCAATAATTCAGTTTCTCAAGGTAATAAACCATTTCCGTCGAATTAAGATAAATAAGTCGTCTCCTCCCCCTTTCGGAGATTCATCTCTACTAAAGATGGATAACCCATTTTTCCTGAGAATAAATGAGTGGTTTACCCCTGTATAAAATTACCTATCTCCCCTTGAATAAAGATAACTCATCTCTCCTCTGGATAAATATTCGATCTCCGCTGAACATAAATAATTGCCAATACCCACGAGACAAATAAGTCGTTTCTCTTGTACATGTGTATGTAAATAAACCATTTCTACTGAAGATAAAGTATACACACCACTGAAAATAAATATGCCATCTCCCCTTAAGATCACAAAGACAGAAGATACATATTTCTCCCCAGAGGATACATAAGCCATCTCCCCAGAAGATACAGAAGCCATCTCCCCAGAAGTTACATAAACCATCTCCCCAGAAGTTACATAAGCCATCTCACCAGAAGTTACATAAACCATCTCCCCAGAAGTTACATAAGCCATCTCCCCAGAAGTTATATAAACCATCTCACCAGAAGATACAGAAGCCATCTCACCAGAAGTTACATAAACCATCTCCCCAGAAGTTATATAAACCATCTCCCCAGAAGTTACATAAGCCATCTCCCCAGAAGTTACATAAGCCATCTCCCCAGAAGTTACATAAACCATCTCCCCAGAAGTTATATAAACCATCTCACCAGAAGTTACATAAACCATCTCCCCAGAAGTTACATAAGCCATCTCACCAGAAGATACATAATTCATCTCCCCAGAACCCAGAAGTTACATAACTCATCTCCCTAGAAGTTACATAAGTCATCTCCCTACAAGTTACACAAGCCATCTCCCACTGAAGAGAGTGGGAAGTGGTGCGCCACCAGATAACGCTGTGCTACCCCAGTGCTATAAATAATGTGATCTACTTACATTCATCAGTATTTCTGTTGCTCCCTAAAATAGATATATTCATATATGTATACACACATGTACATATAAGTCTACATGTAAGATTAATTAATTAAATACTAATTGTAACAGGGATTCTACCATAAGTCCCCCAAAAGCCCCGCGTAATCAATATATAAGACAATAAATTAGAATAAATATGAAATGTAAGTCTGCCATTTTATCCAGTAAACAAGAGTGCCGTGGACACAATATACGCCACCACAAAATATATAAATCTTACAAAAATCAATGAACCGTAAAATTGCCCCTTCATGCACATCTACCCATTGTAGTAGTGACATTGAGCAAGTTTCGTGAAAATCTGATGATTAGTTTCGGAGGAGTTGCGTTCACAAAGCTCACCTATGAGCAAGCTACAGATACAAATTTGAAAATGGCAGAAATCTTTTAAAAATCAAAGAACCAAAAAATCGCCCCTTCATCCACATCTACCCACTGTAGTAGTGACATTGAGCTAGTATCATGAAAATCTGATGATTAGTCTAGGAGGGGTTGCGTTCACCAGAAATGGACGTACGGACGGACGGACGTAGAAGATGACGCCAATATATGACCGCCTCCGGCGGCGTATAAAATGAACTTTGTGTTTGTCCTATCTATCAACATTTACGTAAATGTATGTACTGGCTTTTATCAAAAGCTGGCAGTTTGAATTTCAACCAATCTGAATCTCCTCTCGATGGCCACTTTGTTAAATCCGAACATGAAGTCTAATATTGTGTTTCTGGTGTCGGACACTACCTACAGAACAACTTTCTTAAGAACAGAAAACTGCTTCTTGATAATTCTGATCCAATTCGAAAACAGATGTCAAGTTTTTTGTGTTAAATATACCAAATTACATTTGTCGAGTTAGAAAACGGACACAACCATTACGTTTCGCTTTGTCAGGCAATACCTATTTAACAATATTTTCGAATATCCCACAATATCTTCATTTTGGCCAAACTTTGACCAATTCGTGGCCGCGGCTGAGAAGCCTGAAAAAGTTCTTGCACTGCCTCCCAGACATGTACACTAATGTAAAACTTCATTGCGTTCAATAGATTTTGAGAAACTCACCGATGGAGTAAAATGAGGGAAAATAATAATAGTTATAAGACAAACCGGAGCAAATATAATAAATTATGGCACGTGTTTCTTAGATCCTAAAATACCAAGAAACATATTTTAATTTGAAAGACATATACGCGAAATCACAACTTCCATATACTGCACAGTAAGACGAAAAACAGTTGTTGGTAGTTTTCATGCATTACGTATATGTACGATGGAATAAATGTGTTAGAATTGATGTTAAAATGCAGTCAAGATATTATCATATTATTATAGGTATATGTTATTATAGGTCACCAGAATAAATCAGATTAATGCACCAAAGCTACACAGCTGTTTATCGAGATAAAAGTGACGACTAACATTTTCAATAAGTTCGACTTATAACTATTAAGCGGAAGTAAATAAAACTAATGACATGTCCCCCCTCTCCTCCCTCCCACGACCACCACCACCACCACCACCAAAAATATAATGCAATAAGATAAAATAACATTTTTTATTGTGACAGACTTACTGTGAAGTTTGGTACAGTTATAGGTATCTGTTTTCTCCACCATCTGCAAAGTTTGCTTAAATAAAGACAATTCTAATAAAAATATGCTGTGGAATGAAAGAATATCGTGAATACAATGGCGATTGTTTTATTATCTATCAAGGCTTCAGTGTGTATATACACATTAACGGTCATGTAATCACTCTTCCTCCATGTACCTAAGAATTTCTTTAATATCGAATAGATCACCTCTGAAATCCTCATTTGGCCATATGGTCTATAATTTACAGTTTACTAATTATTTTCACATTCGAAAGTTTGTAACAAAGGATTGACACATTAATTCAATAATATTTACATACATCTGCTAATAACATAATGATTTTTTTTAAATCAATTATTTCCTACAGCTTACTGCCTAAATAATTTGACCATTTTTGCATCCACACGTGCATCACATATTACTGTCCAATTAATCATACGATTTTTCACATACATATTTATTGATGCGATGATACAATTCTCTACTACAAATGTACCTACCCACAACTCCAGACCAATAAAATGACGAAGAATACAGCTGCGATGGCACTCAGTATTGCAACAACAGTTAATGATGGGAACTCGGCACCTTCTGAAATGGATTAATATTAACATGAACGATCAGGGGATACGATATTGACCTTCATGAATACGTTTATGTTTAAATAAAACATGATTTTCACAGGATTAAGCTTTTACCGACTAAATAATGTTGGTACATGTACCAGGCACAAGAACAGCGCATTACTGTATTCTCTGTTTGTATGCCCTGATCTAATTCGACCATGAACAAGACAAAAATAAAACCCTGATCTAATTCAACAAAACATGTTCACTACAAATCTCACACACGCACAAGTAAAATATTGTCATCATGATTCATATATTAAGCGTGATGCTTCACTAGTATATTAGAGAGATATGCTTTCGTTTATTCTGTTTCTCTAAAAGATCCACCATTTTGCAGCTTCTACAGGCGGTTTTCATTTTTTTTATTGAGGACATATTTCCTTATATTACACGGATTTTACTTCAATAGCATTTTTGTTTTCGACAGAGTGCCTTGTATAAAAAGCCGATATTCGTTTGTGTTTCTGAACAAACTTCGATGTAGACAAGAGTAAGCCGCTGTACGAATTTCTATGTAAGTCAACACGGTACATCAAATCTGAAATCAATACATTTGAGAAATTTCAATTACTTAAATGACAGAATTAATCACTATTCTTCTTCCGTTATATTTTTTTTTCTTTTTATTTAATTTTATACACAAATATAGATATAATTTTTTTGAGATGGTAGATTATCATTGTCATCATCGTGACCTCGCTGACATCCGTTCTGAGTTTGAGTTTCCAACAATGAGCTATTTTCTTGTCTTTGTATAAATTGCATCCAAGAAAATTAAGAGCGCAACTTGATAGTTAGTAAAATTCTAAATTAAAACAGTGTACATCAGCAGACACTAAGCAAAGTCACCCCCTTCCATTATATAATAGCTTAATGATTCAGTGAAGACCGGATGTATAGCTATGGACCGAGACGAAATATAAAATAGTCTTTAGTATAAACAGGTACATCTGCATAGGTTGATACTAAGGTTTATTTATGATAATTTTTTATTTAATATGTTCTATTTAGAAAAAAATATTAAATACCCATCGCAAAAGAAATCGGTATATCAATTTCTCGTGAGAGTAAGGGGCAATGTGATGGTTGTAAGAAATATATTCCTTAGATCTGCGTTAATTTTTGTCGAAGTTTACTTCATATTAGCTTAATAACAAAAACGAAACAAAGTATCAAAGCCACGGTCGTGATAGTAGAATAAACTCTGTGCATAGAATGATCAAAAACACCATTTACACGGAGACTCAATGGAAAGAACAAAACCATATGTTCCGGGAGAGTAGGCGTCTTCTGTTACGTCTACGACACCGCCATTTAATCTTGATCAATTCAAGTAAGTATTGACACGTTTCGATATGAGAACAAGATACATATTTAATCTGGATAATGTGTTAGATAGATAAAAGCGATGTCAGAGTTGAAAGTGGTAACTCCAAGTCAACATTTTTATAGCGGTTGCTATTATATTATTAACTAAGTAAAAAAGAAAACATTGCTAATAACCGTAACAACCTATATGAGACATTGTGTCAAAGGAAATTAATACTGGTTAATTATCAACACTTGTTAGGTCCTATTTCAGCACCTTACCTTGGCGATCCTGTGTATAACATTTAATTGGACTGGCGTGTTCTGACGATGAATGGTTTAGTCTGATTACAACCGAAACACACACCTCTTCACCGGCCGCAATGTTCGGGAGATGGATTGAGGTGACATTCCCATTCACGATCCCTGTTTAAAGCGACTTAAATGTTAAAAAAACACTACGATAAAAAGATATAAAACGTTCTATTTTCCAATAGTATGTTACAAAACTAAGACGTTCTGTTAATTACTAAAATTAAAAGTCTCTGCAACCATTTTTATTTATATCTAAAATTAAAGAATGTTAACATTGCGGTCCTGATCTAATTCATACATTACCGCTCGTAACCCTGATGCTGCGCATGCGTAGAAGCCTAATTTCAACTTTTGTAAGAATATGTATGTGAACAGAATTCTGGTATAAAGGAGGCAGAAATTAAGACAAATATAATTAAATCTGAACAAGGACGTAACGTTAATCCTATGAGGCTTACGGAGGTGGTGTTGGGATGATGTGGTTATCTTGATTTTGTATTCTGTACTGTTCTGTTGTCGCTTTATTCTCAAGCTATTGCAGAAAGAATAGGCCCAGGAAACTAATACCATTCGTTTCTTCGTTAAACTGCGAAAGGTTATTCTTGGTGACCTGAAGCCGCCTGCAACATAACATGGAATCTAAATCACATAATATTTGATCGCGGGAAATAAAAGGGTAATGATGAAATATTCAGAAAAAGAAAAGTGATTTTTCATTTGGTTTTTGACAGAAATTTATAATAAACCGGCATATTAATGAAGATGCACATAGAGACTGAAGAAAATGATAGCTTTGTACAAACGCGAAGATATTGTTGAACAATCCGTCCATTGGAATCCGCTACTAATGGTCTGTCCATTTCTTATAGACTCGGCGGACACTCCAAATACGTATGCAAGGGCGGGAAATCCTTTCAGGTTCACAAACGTGCTGCTATACCTGCCGCTAACCGTTTTGTTGTAAAATCCATTCTACAAATTGAAAATGAAACAGACAATTCAAGCGGATTTCATTCTAGAGGAAATTTAATATAGTTGGAGATATATTTTATTTCAGAATATAGAGACTGACAGAACATATTTATTCACTGTAAAGTAATCTCCGAGAACAAAGGATTACTACTAGTAGACAATTGTATTCATTTGATAACAAAAAGGAAACAAAGAATCAACACCACGGCCAATGATAGTAGAATATATTCTGAGCATAGAACACTTGGATAACTTTTTCTGAACTTAGTCTGAACTACTGAGTCAGGATTGAGTCAATGGTAAGTTTGTCGGCGTAGTATTACTCAAACATTTGTATCTTGGTAACTGAAGACGGCATGGTGGAAATAGTGTTATTTCATCGTTAATCATCACCGATGAACTAAACCGGCGGCACTGATGCCCACAGAGAAGAACATGAACGAGCAATACCATTTCTGTAGTATTGTTTGTTTTACCCACAATATATGTACAATACGTACACTGCACGTCCTCCCTGGATCAGACTGGCACCAGAAAACTGTGAAAAAGGTCGCATGAGGTTGATGTTTCCAGGATATTTCAACCTTCTTAGATTGGTGAGTTGTGTTCAAGAAAACGTCCATAGGAGGATTTAGTCCTTCAAATAAACAATGTATTCAACTGAATACAATTTATTAAAAGATCCTCAAGTGTATTTACTAAACAATTTATCCTCATTATCTAAAACTCTAATAACTCGAAGACATGGTATGATTCGAAGAATGTCATTTTCTCACGTTCCCGCCGACTTTGAGATAACGAAGTTCGTCATTACACTACTTGCATTGTACGATTTATATCTCAGAAAGGAAACTTGGTATTAATTTACCACTTTCCGCATTACTCTCACTATCTATTGTAGATCACCCTTGCTATTAGCATAACTACTATTTTAAGTTTAGATATATAAAATGAATATGCTTTTTGTTTTCCTACAAACACACATTCACAATCTGCCTTTGCAACTTTTTTCACATATCTATAACTTACTAGAATAATGAAAAGATTGAAAGTATTTCAAAAGACAGTATAAAAAATCTAAATCTGTAAGATTTTAATAAAAAGACACGCATGTGAATAGCATCGCTGAATACAAATTAAAATGTAGGTAAAGTAGGGCAAATCAATGATTTATACTGCAACATACAGCCCTTTCGTCCATCTCAGACTCGTCAGTTATGTTAAGGGCCTAATTTTTGTCTACGTTGGCGACGAAGGAAAATACTAAGTAATCGAAAAAGAAGTCAAAACTTAGGTGAAGAGGTGCACTAGCCTATAATTCAATAAATCTCGAAAGTTTATATATATGATCATCGTGAAACAAAGTCAAATACAAATGTATATTCTGAACTGAGTCAGTTTTCGAATAAAAATGAAACGTGGCATGCAGATTACGACAAACTTCGAGGTCTCAGAATCTACTAGCAGTGTTAGCTACCTGCAATTTTGCAAGATTGTACGAAAGACAATGAAGGACTTCTTAAATCTTTTACTGATAACAAGTTTTTTCTCGACAATGGAGGTGGATCACCACATGTGGGCAAAAGAATCTATGTCAACATTCAACGCGATTTTTACTGACTTTGTAATCAAATTATCAGAATACGAGCTACTATTAATCTGCCGAATCTCTTGATCACAGCCCTACCTAAATATCTAGGGTTCAGCCCAATAAAATCTGTAGCGTAAACACCATATTTTTGTACTTAATTGTTTACCAACCTTCATTAGTAATAAACATCCTGCTTGGTATATCACTTTGCCCGATCTCATTTTTTGCCCACACTAGTATGTCATAGGAGCAACTGGGCAGGATTTCAAATTTTGAGGAAGACTCGCTGTATAGTTTAGGATTCAGTGTTTGTTGTTTACAAGGTTTCGCAGATGTCGCTTGAATAATATAGGTAAGGTTTTCACCATTCCAAGAGTATCGAGGAAGTGCCTGTAACACAATATAAAAAACATTTTAGAATTTAAAATGTTGGGATAAGGTTAGGTTTTCTTCGAAAAATATTTTTGCAAATTCCAAATATATTCACATGTATTAATGAAGGTAATCAATATATCACCAGGTTGATGGAAATGACGTGGCGCTCATGTGTGTTCAATTAATACAAAGTCATGTATATGTTGTGTTTGATCATTTTAATATATGGTCGCTCATTTTGAGATTCTGTATACATGCCACAATATTACAAAAATATACTAATGAAAGCATCAGCAAAATAAATAACGTTTTGTTTATTCTTAAAGCGACATAATTTTTTTACGATTTTTTTATCAATGCATACATATATCAAGTGTATCAACTTATGAACAATGACAGTTGGTTGTCGCTGAAATAAGCACATAAAGAGGTCAATTGACAATTGAAAATATGTTGATCAACAGTTTTGATATGTATATTTTTGCGTCTTGTGTGATAATGCATGCGCACAAACGCCGTCCCCTGTAAACAAAAATGGCTACCTGCCTGAATCGGTCTAGACAATGTTGGCAATTATTCTCACTTAATTGGTAATTCAAAATTCATCATTTCACTGTCTTAAAGTTACACTTACCGGCCAGTATATAGTAACTGTTCTGCTTCCTTTGAAACTGATGGCAGCTAAAGTAAATGCACCTGGTGAGATGGGCGGCGATCTGGATGGAACTGAAACGTAGGAAATAAGAAATAAATCTCACATTATGCATAACACAAAAACGCTTTTCTGATTTTTATCGTCGTCAAAAGAAAAAAAATATAAGATTATCTTACTTTTTTCACAAAAAACAAAACATCTCTTATTGAGTAATAGATCAAAAGTGTTTTCAGAAATAAATTCGCCGTCAAATATGGAGGGAATACTTCACCAGATTTAGGAGTAACTTTGGTGGTCGTTCTAGGGTCACTCCAGTATCCGGTTGGAAAACCATCATAGTCAATAGGTCTGGTCCTCACTGATATTGTATAGTTAGTGTAATAAGATAAATCACATATATGGTAATATTCTGCATGATGATAAAAACCAGAGGACGGATTTTCAGTGGATTCAACATTCTGCAAAAGATATAATGATGTTAGTGCACTAACACAAACAGTCCTATGTTTTTTTAGTATAGATTTCAAACCATTTTTTTTTTATTTTCTATTCATATTACCTATATCACATAAGTTTATTACTGATGTGGACGTATTCCTGTCTGCATCTACTTCTGATTGGTGATTCATAAAAACATACACAATAGAAAAAACATACACAATAGAAATGAAATTGATGACATTGAAAAGTTTTGTAAATTCATAAAAAAATTGCTTTTTTATATATATGAATGAATGGAAATGGTAATTTTGTTATATTTCAAACATCCATCAGTCTACTGTAACAGTCCATGATAATACCGAACTTTACAGGCATGACGCAAGTAATAAACATTATAAACACCGGTCATGTGCTTCTTAAAACGGGAAAACTGAACAAAATTTTATATGTTATCAAATATAACGAACTTTCTTATTTATTTGTTTATTTGATACATTGATACTATTATGTTTTCAGGTAGAGACATGCATTTAAGGATATCATCAACATATATATATATGTATATCTTAGCTTTCACAGTATTGCAAAACATCACAAATATATCGACACATCAACGTGAATTTAGTCAAAACTCAAATCAGATGATGCGAAAGATGTACACGGAGACACTAGAAAAGGAAATGGAGATATACTATGTATTGCTAAATGAAGAGCGTCCTCTGCTTTACCGATAACACCCTCCAAGTAAACTTATATGTCAATTTTACTTTTCATTCAAACGCTTGAAAGAGGTAAGTTCGGTACACCCGGACTAGAAAAGGTCAGAAACGTGACATAACAATACAGGTACCTGACTAGCGGCTTTTGCTACAGATATTATTACACAAGCCTTAGTGAATAATTTTGATGTCTGATTCTGTTATTTATCACTTGCCATTTATACAAATATATATATATCAAACTATTTAAAACACAGATAAACCACATACCTTGGCGATGTTTTCCCTCTCCGACAACAGTTCTAGTTTATATATCTTTGCATCTACTATCTTGTCATGACCCCAGGATATATTTAGACATAGTGGTGACGTCGATATGGCGTCGATGTAACTCACTGTATCTGGCTTTACTATTAGTCAAAGAATATAATATAATGATATGTCATGTCATTGTATATATGTTTATCTTTTGCAATTGAATATAATGCATGTATATAATTTATGTCACAATATCTAAGTTTATTATAGACGAAATATTATGATATAATGATGTACATGTCACTACATATACGTCTATCTTTTGAGATTAGATATAATATACATACATATATATATATATATATATATATATATATATATATATATATATGATATTTTATTATGTCACAATATCTAGATTTATTATAGAAGAAATAATATACAACAATGTTCATGTCACTTTATCTATTATGTTTATTAATTCTGATTGGATATGAGGTATTGGAATGTAAACATATTTTAAAGATGGACATGTTACCATTTTTAAAAACAATTTTCGCCTTTGTTGGAGATGCAAAGAGGCGTGTCATCAGTTTTACTTATATTCCTATATATCGCTGTATCTAATTATGATAAAAAATGATCAGTTTAAATATTAATACGACCATGATATACATACTGTATGTGAAATAGACAGAATAGTTGTATACTAACCAAACGCCAATATTGTTGTAATGTCAATCTGATTATTACATACCAATATTATCAATGGTAATATCACTGCATTGCTGATCCTTAACATCGTCATTTGTTCTCAGTTGCAGGCACACTGAGATCTGCCTATCTGGATCGACATCATACCTCTCACCATCTCCACCCAAACCCCACTGGCATGAAGTCTGGTAACGAATAGGGCATTTCGCGTATGGTAACAATGGATGGCCTGCAATTTTCCTGTGTAATATAAAATAAAAGTTTTATTATCTTTAATGGTCTTCCTTACTACAAGTGTAAGTTACAACTGTATCAGATCATTTTATAATTGGTCGTCAAAACTACAGCCAGTATTTTTACTGTGAGAATGCCCAATGCTATGTCATGACGCTTTCAGATATCACACTTAACCTACCAGACGACTTCTGTTCGGTTGCGGTATCCCGGCAGTTCATCCCAACTACATATCAAGTCAATATTCCAGTTAAAGGTAATGCAGGAAAAGTTATGGAAGAATCCTGCATAAACAAAGACAAAAACAACAAAGAAATAATACCATGTGGACATAGATATAATTCAAGCTGAAATTCAATCAAACACGGACAAAATTTCAGCACAAGGAAGATTCACACACAAACTCCTAAAACGGGAATCAGATTAGGGTGTTAAAATATTAAAACGTGATATACATACTGTATGTGAAAATGAAGTCGTAAAACTATAACCAATCGTTAGTATTCTTGTAATTTCCATCTAATTATAACATCCCTATATCATCAATTGTAATGTTACTGCATTTGTGATCCTCAAAATCGTTTATTGATCTCAGTTGAAGGTGCATACAAATAGGTTATGTTCAAGAAAAAAGAAAATCCACTGTTATTCTCAGTGTACAAATATAGATTACAATCCCACGTATTAAGTATAGAATCAGGTAGGTATAATGTCACTGTAAGGGCTCAACGGAAGTGTCCCATGTGCAATAGTAAGTACATCGATTTTATTTGTTGTGCCCAATCTACTCAGAGCTCAGAACAAAATATACTAAACCTTATTATTTCCGTCGTCCATCTGTATTTAAATTAACTAATATCATGCAAAAAAGTAAAGATATTTGAGAAACGCTACTAATAAAAAAAAATTTAAATGTCTGATATGTTGTATAAGTTAATAATAATCATATTTTTCTTTAGCACTTTGATACTATAGTTAGTTACTTACTTGCAACCATATTGTATTCTATAAGTTATATGGAAATAAAGAAATTGAATTGTAACGTTGGACAATGATTACGTCATTGGGTATACAGAGTGAAAAATTGTGAAATTTCTTCATTCAGTTTTAACACATAGAAACGTTGGATTACTATCACTGACGATTCTCAAAAGGATGTGATACTTTTAATGCCATATGTCTTATCTAATTCAAAATATGTATTCTAAGGTGTTTTTGTGAAATTCCTTTGAAACACTACATTAAAATTTTGATGGTGCTAAACAGGTGTTTTTCTCCAGTTTTGATATTGACGTATGTATATCAGGACTTTTAAAGGAAGTTGATCTCGGGCAGAATATCGACATATTAATCTATCGAATGTTTTCTTTTCTCGTGTAAAAACGATTTCTGTTTAAATGAAGAACTAGATAAGTATTATTTTTTTCTTACCTTGCATACATGATAAAACTAGTATTAATAATGCGTAATGGATCAGCTTACCAGCACAGGAAGCATTCCAGGCAGTTATCAGTGTCAGGAACGAAACTCTCCAGAACATCTTATTATCAAGTCCAGCGACACATCAAGGTAGAAAATAACACGTCAATAGAAGATGCAGCACCCTTAGTTACATAGGAGGAAATGAACACGTCAATAGAAGATGCAGCACCCTTAGTTACATAGGGAGGAAATGAACACGTCAATAGAAGATAGAACACCCTTAGTTAGATAGGTAGAAAATGACAACAACAATAGACGATACATCACCCTTAGTTAGATTGGTAGAAAATGTGTTCATTTCCTCCCTATGTAACTAAGGGTGTTGTATGTTTTACTGACGTGATTATTTTCTCCCGATATCACAGCGGGTGTTGTGTAGAAGATACTGAACTGATGATACAACAACAGTAAAACCAATTATTTACCAAAATAAAATGCCATATTGAGATTGATTACACCACAGCAGTAGATAGATAATAAATCAAAATATAGACATGCGATATCGTAACAGTAGCACCAAGTGGTTAACAAAACAACAAAACAATACGAACAGCAACATTTACACAGTATATACTGACTGAAAGAGATATTGAACCATACGGTAGGATAATAACTGGAATACTTAAAGAGACATTGCCTTACAACAAACTAAGTATGTCATAGCATAACTTAGGCAAAACAAAACCCAATTTGTCCTCAGAGGTATGGGACAGCGAAGGACCTTACAACTTAGTTCTACAACGATCATTTCCAATATTCTTTCTCTATTTTTTTCCTTTAGAAATATAATCTGATTCTTTTCTATGCGCTTTTTGTCACAAAAATGTCTTTCGTGATTGTGTTTTATCAAATTGGAAAAAAATCCCAACTAAATAAATAAATAAAAAAGACAAAATAAAAATAGCTAAATAAGGAATCAGCAAAAACCTTACTAACCAAATGTTAGACAATGTTATAACCCGAATTTATATCATTGTCCTACTGTATATTTTTTTCCTACTGTATCTTACTTTCCTACTGTATCTTACTTTCCTTCTGTATCTTACTTTCCTACTGTATCTTACTTTCCTTCTGTATCTTACTTTCCAATTGTATCTTACTTTCCTTCTGTATCTTACTTTCCAATTGTATCTTACTTTCCTACTGTATCTTACTTTCCTACTGTATCTTACTTTCCTTCTGTATCTTACTTTCCTACTGTATCTTACTTTCCTTCTGTATCTTACTTTCCTACTGTATCTTACTTTCCTTCTGTATCTTACTTTCCAATTGTATCTTACTTTCCTACTGTATCTTACTTTCCTTCTGTATCTTGCTTTCCTACTGTATATGACTTTCCTACTGTATCTTACTTTCCTACTGTATATTACTATCCTATCGTATCTTACTTTCCTACTGTATATTACTTTCCTACTGTATCTTGCTTTCCTACTGTATCTCACTTTCCTTCTGTATATTATTTTCCTACTGTATATTACTATCCTACTGTATCTTACTTTCCTACTGTATCTTGCTTTCCTTCTGTATCTTACTTTCCTACTGTATCTTACTTTCCTTCTGTATCTTACTTTCCTACTGTATCTTACTTTCCTACTGTATCTTACTTTCCAATTGTATCTTACTTTCCTTCTGTATCTTTCTTTCCTTCTTACTTTCCTACTGTATCTTGCTTTCCTTCTGTATCTTACTTTCCTACTGTATCTTACTTTTCTACTGTATCTTACTTTCCTACTGTATCTTACTTTCCTTCTGTATCTCCTACTACTTTCCAATTGTATCTTACTTTCCTACTGTATCTTGCTTTCCTTCTGTATCATGCTTTCCTACTGTATCTCTCTTTCCTTTTGTATCTTACTTTCCTTCTGTATATTACTTTCCTACTGTATCTTACTTTCCTACTATATCTTACTTTCCTACTGTATCTTACTTTCCTTCTGTATCTTACTTTCCTACTGTATATTACTTTCCTACTGTATCTTACTTTCCTACTGTATCTTACTTTCCTACTGTATCTTACTTTCCTACTGTATCTTACTTTCCTACTGTATCTTACTTTCCTACTGTATCTTACTTTCCTACTGTATCTTACTTTCCTACTGTATCTTACTTTCCTACTGTATCTTACTTTCCTACTGTATCTTACTTTCCTACTGTATCTTACTTTCCTACTGTATCTTACTTTCCTACTGTATCTTACTTTCCTTCTGTATCTTACTTTCCTACTGTATCTTACTTATCCTTTCCTACTTTCCTACCTGTATCTTACTTTCCTACTGTATATTACTATCCTATCGTATCTTACTTTCCTACTGTATATTACTTTCCTACTGTATCTTACTTTCCTACTGTATCTTACTTTCCTACTGTATCTTGCTTTCCTACTGTATCTTGCTTTCCTACTGTATCTTACTTTCCTACTGTATCTTACTTTCCTACTGTATATTACTTTCCTACTGTATCTTACTTTCCTACTGTATCTTACTTTCCTACTGTATCTTACTTTCCTACGGTATCTATTACGGTTTTTCTACTGTATCTTACTTTCCTACTGTATCTTACTTTCCTACTGTATCTTACTTTCCTACTGTATATTATTTTCCTACTGTATCTTACTTTCCTACTGTATCTTACTTTCCTACTGTATCTTGCTTTCCTTCTGTATCTTACTTTCCTACTGTATCTTACTTTCCTACTGTATCTTACTTTCCTACTGTATCTTACTTTCCTACTGTATCTTACTTTCCTACTGTATCTTGCTTTCCTTCTGTATCTTACTTTCCTACTGTATATGACTTTCCTACTGTATCTTACTTTCCTACTGTATCTTACTTTCCTACTGTATATTACTATCCTACTGTATCTTACTTTCCTACTGTATCTTACTTTCCTACTGTATCTTACTTTCCTACTGTATATTATTTTCCTACTGTATCTTACTTTCCTACTGTATCTTACTTTCCTACTGTATCTTACTTTCCTACTGTATTATTTTCCTACTGTATATTACTTTCCTACTGTATCTTCATTTCCTACTGTATATTATCTTACTTTCCTACTGTATCTTACTTTCCTACTGTATCTTGCTTTCCTACTGTATCTTACTTTCCTACTGTATCTTACTTTCCTACTGTATCTTACTTTCCTACTGTATCTTACTTTCCTTCTGTATCTTACTTTCCTTCTGTATCTTACTTTCCTACTGTATCTTACTTTCCTACTGTATCTTACTTTCCTACTGTATCTTACTTTCCTACTGTATCTTACTTTCCTACTGTATCTTACTTTCCTACTGTATCTTACTTTCCTACTGTATATTATTTTCCTATTGCATACAGATAAACTTTCTCTTAAATTTTTTACTCCCTTCTCATAAAGCGTTTCTATTTCCACTTGGCGTTAAAATTTCCCTCGTTAGATGAGATTAGTTTCAGCTTTAAATTAAAAAAGTTGCCTTCCTTTTTTCGCTCTATTGTCTATAGTGCGAAACGAGCAAAGGTTTAACTTTGCCAACATATTTCCCGTATTTAGTTTTTGCAAGTTGATATGTGTGTAGGGGTTAGTCTAAATATCGACCTTATAGCAAATAACAGTTCTTGGTACATGTTATCTATTTAAACAAAGATTTATTTTTTTCAGAATGACTGATTAAGTGAAAAACTTTATTGACAGAATAATTAATTTTACATAAACTGTTTTGATAATAATAATATTTCGTGTATCATAGATGATTATTAATGATTTACAATATATCAACAATGTCATTATATAAGTGTATATTACTATTAGCGATATTGCACAAATAAACACACGCGTAAGTGATTTAATAATCATGATTACTGACTCCATCATATAAGTATTTTTCTATTCAGGAAGGAAGATTCTGTGATGGGTAATCAGTGATTGAGTTCCACGTGATATTTAGTTCATTTAAACTTATCATTCAATTCAACAGACCAGAGGGTCCAATTACAGAATTGATAATAATGGAAACGCAGGTATATTAAAATATCACAGATACATACATATACATAGTTTATAAGATGGGTTTAGCATTAGTAAGATAAATAGAAAGACATGTAACGTAATTATCATCTAAAACATATTGCCTTAAAGCGAGATTTAAAAGAAGGCAAAGTACAATTAGATATACCACCTAGTTGACAGGCGTTTCTGTTAAAAGAATTCACTGCACGGTAAATAGTATTAAACTTACTAAGACTGATCCTTCTAGGCGAACAAACAAATTGTGAAGCTCTAGAGGAACGTAAATATCTTCTAAGGACTAAAATTCCTATCTTTTCTCGTAAAAAACAAACAACCAAAAAGTCCATGAATGCATTTCAAAAGGAAACAATTATATACCTTGCCGTCTGCTTTCTAAAGTAGGCAGGTTAACATGTAAACATAAATAGCGTAAGAATAATCAAAGTTAGCTTTAAAACACACATCTTTTTTAGAAATTCTTTGGACTTATAAGTAATTTATCAACTTAAGTGGGAGTTATTAGCAATGGACTGAAATGACGCAAAAAGTAGGACTATTTATACAGCTGCAAAGGCATATTTCTAACAAATGTAAAACATCGAAAATATCATATTACTGTTTCTTAGTATGCAGGTATGTTAAAAATTGCAATCTGCAATATAAATAGATATTATATCTCTCATTTTCTCAACTCCTTACATCATTGACGAGGAATTTTAATACTTTCCTGACACGTTGTTGTCACGTTATTTCACTGTTAACGCATACCTGTCGCGATTCATAAATGTATATTGATATCTTGTGTACATAATTATCATCACTTATTTCTGAACTATGTTTTCAACTGTGGCTTTTAAATTTACCTTCTCAAATATTTTTCCTTAATTTGGACACGAGTTTAATTTGTTGTTGAAAAACTGCACCTATTACTTTTGTTATCAATTTTCAAGGTCTTCTTAAAGACAGTAAATTACATTTTGTAATTAAAACGATTTCCAAATTTCCGAACGAAACACGTTCACTACGTCAGACCGTACGCGTGGTATTTCAAATCAATAGGGGAAGTTGTATTCGGATATTAAATTAAACAAAATGGTTTTTCA